TGAATATCGTTTCGTATTACAAGTTTGTCGAGTGTTAAGACATCCTAAACATTTTATTATGTTCTTGAAATGAAAATCTTCTTCTCCCTCACACTTTGTTTTAGAAGACCTTGTCAGATGTTATGCAAAAGATATGGGAGAGCAGACTGAAAAGTTTAAACCATAAACGATATAATTAAATGGGTCAATTATTTGGACAATGTCAACTTCAGAGGAATGTTGCGTCGATATTATCTACCAGGCATCTCCCAGCAACAAAGAGTGCTATCTACTTTAGCTGGATAACCACACAGTTGAAGGACGAGAAAAGGATTAAATTAGACTACTTTGGTTTTTGTCCATCACAAGATAGATACATCTCCATCAAGAATGGATGTTAAAAAAAATACAAACCCGAGTTAGGAATCTCGTTCGGATATATTTTTTGTAATTTCTTGAAACATGCCGAAACGAATGACGTTAACCATATTTTGTACAAATATTTCAATCCAATCAATATAGGTTATAATGAAAATCTTATTAAAAGACTGCTTCCAAGAATGAAATGGAAAACGCATTTCTGACCGGAGTGGTTTGGGCATCAAATAAAAGATTCGACAGAAACCAGAAAAGAGAGAAGTATCAAGGGAAAAATACAATCCATAAATCGAAGAGAAACAGACAAAGCCATGGCCAAAAAGAAAGACGAGCAGACAAACAGTCTACAACACACTACACACAGAACCGTGTTAAACTCAGAAGATCCGGAAGTCAGTAGTGCTTGTTCTACTATTGACCCCCTTTCTCTTCATGATGGCGTCAGTAAAATCTTTGAAGAAAATACTTCAACGTTTCTTTTCAAATAGTTTTTAAAAAGGCTCCCCTGTGCGCTGGTGCAATGTTATACTATATAAAAATGTAAAATCGTAGTTTTTACAATAGACAGTTTGAGAATCTTTTGTCATCACATAACATTTAAATGTATTTCATATTAAACAAAGACAAGATTGTTGTTGTTCAAAAGTTCTATTGGACTCTTAAAACCAAAATCTACAATTACCTCAGCGCAGGACATAGACTACATTGTTGTTTTACCAAAGACGGTCGATTAATACAAGACGAAAGATTGCAAAATCAAGATGAAAGTGATAAAAGCGAACCATCCAACGAAAATAAACTGTATTATAACTTGCATCTCAATGCAGTAGATGTTTTAAACCGAAATACAAAATAGATAAATACAATAAGAATCAGCAAAAAAGAGTCCATTCGAGAAGGGTTACACATACAACTGGACTGAGATGTTTAAGATAACAGCGTTTCAAAGTACTATATTGACCCGGTGGTGAACAAGATAACCGACCTAAATGAACAATCAACCAAAGGCAGCTTCTACACATCTGAACTGTAAAAAAACAAGAACAGGAAAAATATAGCGTAAGGAAGAATTGAGATGCAATAAAAAAAAGACCAACGGTTTGTCAAATGGAAGGGATACCTTGATACGTTCAAGAGTCTGACAAAGAATCTCTCTAGTAGAAAAAAAACTCACGTTTGTTCTTGTTTAATTCAACCGAATTCTGCAACGAGGCGGCATATCTATGAGCTTTCTCGAGAGAACAATATTTCTGTACAATATCAAGAGCTAAATCGTCAAATCTTTTCTCCGCTTATAAAACTCCAAAAGTTGGTGTCTTCTTGGTTAAGGTCCATATCTCAGGTCCACTGATATATGGTATATAAATAAAACTTGACAGAGTGTGTACAACTTGGGTGGTATTATAAGGTCTATATTCTCACAAAAGTGTGCCTATCCCATTAAAAATAAGTTCATAGTTTGTTGAGTTCTGATTTTGTTTAATTCTGTGAGTTTAGTCCTGCCACTGAACAATCCAAAACTGAATACTTTCATACAAATCCTTCCTTTTGATGAATTGATTACCTTGTTCATATTATAATCCATGAGCGATATGATCACATTACAGGTATTTTGACTGAGTGTAGATTCGCATGGCGGGTGATGCATATATAGCATGATACAGTAACCAGTCTCGCTCCTTTAGGAGTTCATGCGATTCTCTGTTCTTGTTTGTTAACTTGATTTTTATCTTCTTAATCGATCTATGAGATTTGAACATCGATGAACTATTGTTGTCTAAATTTTACAATACAGATTTCCCCATTCAATGTATTCACAGCAAATATTTACTCATCACACATAAGTCTCCTTTATACAATAATAGACAGCAAATAGAGGCTCAACCTAGTCAGATAGGAAGCAGTAAAATTGTTAAGGGTCTAATTAGAAATCCATCGAATATCCGGTAGTATACATATCCAAGTAAAATGTTTTCAAAATGGAAAAAAATACATCAACCACAGTCTTTTTAAAGTAAATTTGTCTTCAATTACAATCAAAGTAATTTTAGTAGACAGTTTAAGTTGTGATCAGAGTTACACTGCTTTAAACGACAATCTGATAGTCTTCAGGTAGAAAAGAACAGTATTATTTTTGAGTGATTACTTTTACTGTTGTAAGCAGCTGGATTCAATTATTGAATATAAGTGCTGTTGTAAAGTTTGTTTAACTTGAACTGTTGAGCAGGAAAAATATCCCTGCTTTCACATTTTATCACATGAAAAATATGAAACAATTCAATTGAGAAAACTAACGGCCTAATTTACAACAAAACAATTTACGAAAAACAAATGTGACAGACATGAACCAACGACAACCACTGAACTAAAGGCTCCAGACTTGGGACAGGCACATAAAGAATGTGGCGGGGTTAAACATGTTTGTGAGCGATCACCCCTCCCCCTAACCTGGGACAGTGGTGTTACGGCATAAGAAAAAATTATAAAAATCAGTTAAAAAGGGCTATTGTTTACTTTTTACACATTGTCACTTGGGTGGAGAGTTGTCTCATTGGCACTCATACCACATCTTATTTCTATTAACTCATCAGATCGATACAAAGCCGAAAAACATCTAACAAAAACACAGACGGCACGGGGCAGGGTATTTATACATCCCTTTCAACAAAAAATACCCAAAGTACAGATCTGAGAGTACTCCCAGTTACTGACAGCTAGTTCAAAGCCAATAACAACTAATAAAAGAAATCATGTATCTAGACTAAAATATCAATCAGTACACATCCAACATCCAATGGATCTAGTGTAAAGACGTCATTAATTGTAGGAGAAAAACATGACCTTGTGCAATGCCATAATATAGGTATCGACAGATTATAGTACAAATGTACTTTGAAAGTGCATATGTGTATAACAATACTATTTAGTATGGTTTTAAATTACTTAAACAAGTTTTCATGAATTTCAAATGTAGCATGTATAAACAGTTGCTTCCACAAAGTAAATCCACAAAGTTCATACTGAATAGTACCAAAACATTTCTAAGTTCAAAGGGGCAGAACTCTCAGATTGGTCAATGGACTAGGACACCTTACTAATATATGTGTTTTCATGTCAGGACATTACAATATACAAAGCTTTTTATGAACATCTGATAAAATTTGTAGGAGTTGCATGCATAAAAAGCATGATAGTATCAAAATTTTGTTAAGTATAAATGGCATTAATCTGGGATTTGTCAATGGAACAGTATGCCCCACAGCTATGCACAAATATCAATGTTTAAAAATGCAAAGACATCTATGATAAATGTAGGGGGATTGTCTTAAAAAGCAGTTAATGGTATAAAAGGAGTACAACTCTGGACGAGGTTGCGATACTTTTTTGGCAAATTTTTCATGTTATGATCCTACAATGTACAAGATGAACATCTGATTAGGATGTAGGAGTTGGGTCCACAATGTGCATACTAAATACTCAAAAGTATTAAAAAAAAATAGTTTAAAGATGCATAATTCTAGGATTTGTCATCGAACCATTATTCCCTTTTAATATGTCCATTTTCATATTAGGATCTTACAATGTACTAAGTTTCATGCACATGTGATGAAGCATGCAGGAGAAGTAGTTTACTAAATAATATAAACTATTTCTTCAGTTCAAAGTGGCATAACTCTGGGATTTGCCAATGCAGTGGAATGCCCTACTAATATGCACATCTTCATGTTAGGGTTTATAATTTACAAAGTGTCATGTGTAAGAGGATTTGGTCCATAAAAATCATGATGAATGTGTATACACAGTTTCATGAACATCTAATGAAGTATGAAGTAGGAACGAACACAAAGTGCATACTGTAAATTCAGAAATTATTGCGAGGTTTTTATTATTGCGAAAAATGCGACAGAGTTGTTAACGCAATAATTTAAACTCGCATTTTGAAATATTTTATATGAATTAAACAGGATTTTTCTCAAAATCGTAAAAATTAAAATCGCATTTAAGTCTAAAATGACAAAATCGCAATAATAAATGCACGCAATAATTTCTGAATTTACAGTAGTAAATAGTATTAAAAAAAAATAATGTTCAAAGGAGCATAACTGTGTCATTTGACAATGGACAAAGATACCCTACTCATAAGTACATATTTAAAGGTGCTACTTTTAGAATTACTAAATGATAATGGATCATAACCTGTAATTGAAAAAATATTACATGCATATTAAGGCAAGAATATGTTAATGTGATTTGAGTATGAACAATGCATTGTACTAAACCAACATGCAATTTCTTTTGCATGCTATTTCCCAAGGTAACAGTCCACAGGGAGACATGTCACCCTTCTCCAGCCCATTATTTTGAAACAGAGCCAACCAGTCTTTTGCTCTTACCTCTAAATGCAGCGTGCATACTAAGGAGCAGCAAATATCAAGTTTCAAGTGTTTGATTTCACCTGGCTGTGGACGGAGCAGACAAACTCCCACACTAGAGGCATCATGCTACTACTAACCACTGAGGTGGTTCACTATCATAAATCCTAATTCATGTATGTGACATTGAGCAGACAATAGTAAAAATAATACATTTGCCCTTGAAAAATCACATAAAAACAGTATATGTTGATAAGAAAATAGACAACATTGAGGGATAGGTTTTATTTTCTTTTTTATTTCCATCTCTTATAATCCATCAGCACATACTTGAAGGGCTGCGAGCAGACATTAAGAATGAAAACTTTCTGCCATTGTGGTTTTGAAATCCAATAGGTGACCATACCGCCATCAGCCACCTGACCAGTGATCATTTAATAAATTCAACAAATCTTGTACAATAGGGTTAAGAACAGCAAGAGCCTTCTTTGATGCTCTCATGCCACTAAAACATAAAAATAAACCAGTAAAGCATTATATAGTATTGTGATATTTCATCTTCAAACACTGAGAGTTGAAAAATGTAATTAACAATCTTTCAAACAATACATATTTATAAGTAATGAAACAAATGTGGGATGAATGAATCAAGATTGTGGACATTTTTGGATTAATGTTTTGTAACTCATACTTTTCTTTTATAAGAAATTCCCTAATATGGCTGAACAATACACATTGTACAAACTTATTTAATATTTAATATTTAATAGAAAGCAACTATTTACTTAACATTCTTCAATATATTTCATGACTTTTAAACCCATCAATTCCACTCATTCTGCATACAAAACACATAAATGAGACGTTTCTACTACACTAGGACAAAATATAATTCACCCTGACAGTCACACTTTTGTAGAAAACCATTAAAATATTTCATATCACAAACTATGGAAGTGTAATAAAATACTTGTCAAATCAATAACAAAACTGAACTGCATCCAAGTTAACCAATACATTTTGATTCATCGAAAACATAGTAAATGATTTCTCCTTTGGTCAGTTTTCTTATGTTTATATAAATTAATCAAAGTTTTATAATGCATTTTTAAACAATTATTTCAACTATTTGTATAAAGCTAGTTATACCTCTTGTCAAAATGTAACAATCCAGAGTTGACATACTGGCTGAGGATATCCTGGTTATAAAATAAATCAGTCATTGATTTAGAACTGTATCTTTTCTTCCAAGTCTGTAATATTTAAGATATAACAATTAGGAGTTAATTATTACCATTTCAAATATAATAAAAGATTTTTATGCTTCATAAATTCCATGTATCAATACTTGATTTGGCCTTGTATTTTTTTTTCATTCCAGCATCACTGATGAGTTTTAATTCATCTATGCCACTTTCGATAGTAGAAAAATAATCTTTGTATATTATCAAACTTGGAATCTTCTCTTATAGGAATACATCAGGAAAGATAGAAAAAAAGCGAAAATAAATTGCCTCTTCAAAGGACAAAATGCAAAAAAAATAAATTTCCAAGATATGATTTGACTATATATTTCATTTGTTTGAAATTTTCACGGTACATAATTTGATTTAGACAAATCATATCTTTAAAAAATTATGTATACAAAACCCATTCCTTTTATAATCTTATTTAGAAACTAAAAAAATTTGTTCTTTATGTCCAAATGTTTTAGTTATTTTCAAATACTGTTTTTTCCTCAAAGAAATCACTATGAAATTTTCTGTTTCTCATTTTTAAGAAGCCAAACTCCTGAACCAGTATTGGTAATGAGATTCAACATAGCCTGTAATTATATTTCACAGATCTAAGTAGAATGAGGTCTGTAAAAGTAAACTTATATTATTATCTTGAAATAACAGACTTATGGATAAAGCAGTGACTATATACTCCCCCATGAAGTTTTTAGGGAATGTAATAAAAAATTGAAAAGCCTATAAAATAGGTTATTGTGTTGTCAAAAAGGTTATAATTCTTATTGAAATACCTCATGTTTTATACCATCTTTTGTTCTTAAACCCATAACTAACAACTCTTCTAACCTGAAATAAAGAATTAATCTACTGTTATTACTATTTCATTGCTACTTGCACATAAATCATATTGGAATCTACTTAAAATTTGTTATTAAATTTGATGAATTGTATAACTGTTGATACTTTTTAAACAGAACTACTTTTAGGTGGGAAAGGCTCCAGCTTGATTTGTAATTTCTTACAAAGCGTTGGTGTCTTAATTCAATAACAGTTATTGAAACTAGAAGCTCTATTGATTCTCAAGAGAGCATGATGTTTTGACAGCTGAAAGGTTCTTACAAATAAAGTTAACTATCTGAAACTCCATTCAATAAAAGTTTGAACATTGACTGAGGTCAATTAAAAGGTCAAGAAATGGACAAAATCAACAAGTTTTCAAAATGGCACCATCTATTGAAGCTTGACCCCCCTCTCACCAAGATTTAAAAGTTAAAAATTCACAGCTATTCAAGGAGAGTCAAGTGAAGCAGAAGCATCCAGCTGAACTAAAAAGTCATTTAATCCTTACTGTTCCAACTGATTTTGTGGTTTGGCCAGTTTTGTACCATGACCTTGATTTTCTACCTCAGTCATCCATCTGTTTGGTTCTAATATCTGTACTCTAGCCTCTCTTTGATGTTTCCCTTGTGAATATGGTGTGAATCTGCCATGTGCTCCTAAAAAAGATTTAATATCATTGTAATCAGTCTGGCTTGAAAGACTTGAAGTTCAAATGCAAAATTTTCCTCCAATATACTATAATATTTGGTATGTCTTTTTTTAAATTCTGTATAACACATATAAAAACTTTAAATTCCATATTTTTAGCACTGAAATCAACTACAACAGTCGGCTCATAGATTAGATGTTACATGATTTTTGTACAGCTACCTATTTCAAATAACATTTTTTATTTCATGTTTTTTAAGATATAGTTTTTAAAATATATTTCAATTTGATTGTAATTAGCTTTAAGATTTTTTATGGTCTGCAACAATAAGTGACATATCAATAAAGAAGCAATTTATTAAGACTCTTTTGAAAGACGTGTTTAATATTTTTTGGAAATATTCCTCTGTACTATATCTAAATTTTTGTACAGTTATCGTTTTCAAATATATTTTTCTGAGATATATTATCAAAATCTCTTGAAATTTTCAGTTATTTCACATGAACAGTCACTTGGTCTCTAGTGGAGAGTTTTCTCATTGGCATTTATACAACATCTTCTTATTTTTCAATTTGTAAACAGACATTTAACGGTAAGTAGTGATTGTTAATAGTAAATATGTCATGTTACTGTGTACCTGGACCAACACCTATATAATCTTCACCTTCCCAGTATACTTTATTGTGCCTTCCTACTTTACCCTGAAATATAAAGGGTGTATTTAATAATGACAAGAAAGGTAGTGTAAAGAAATAGAAATGATTGAACCTAGTCAAGAGTTTATCAAAATCAAGTGTGGACACTCTACCACAGAAATCTCAAATAAGAAGCCAAGGAAATACACCTTATCAAAACAGGATAAACTAGAATAAATTGATTTGATTTAGTGATCACATGTACCGGTATCCCTGCCCTAAGAAAACTAAACTCTTAAACAGTAATTTCCACTGTCTAAATAAAATTTGACCGGTATATTATGGTAGATGACATTTTATTAAAATTTTAAAAGATTCTGTTAAATGGTACTTTAGTTATCATTGTGAATAAAAAAAACACTCCCCAATTCATTAGATAATTAAAGAACCTTAGTGAGCGCGCTCACATACCCCACGTCCCCACATTGTCATTGGAGAAATAAAATAAGTGTAAGAAAAAAAAAAATTGTATAAGAAATCATAATATCCTGTCAATATGCACTTCTACATAGTATGTCCTTATTATCTACAAAGTTTCATGAAATTCTGTTGTGTGGTTTCAGAGGAGTTGCGATGACAAACTGTTGCAGAAGTACATTGATGCAAATAAGTTCAAAGGGGCGTAACTCCTAGAAAAAAAATTGAATCGCAATTTCCTGTCATTATGCACAACAACATAGTATGTCTTTATTATCTAAAAAGGTTTCATGAAACTCTGTTATGTGGTTTCAGAGGAGTTGCAGTAGTACATTGAAGCAAATAAGTTCAAAGGGGCGTAACTCCTAGAAAAAAAAATGAATCGTAATTTCCTGTAGATATGCACAACTACATAGTATGTCCTTATTATCTAAAAAGGTTTCATGAAATTCTGTTGTGTGGTTTCAGAGGAGTTGAGATGACAAACTAGCTGTTGCAGTAGTACATTAAAGTAAATAAGTTCAAAGGGGCGTAACTCCTAGAAAAAAAATTAAATCGCAATTTCCTGTTGATATGCACAACTACATAGTATGTCCTTATTATCTAAAAAGGTTTCGTGAAATTCTGTTGGGTGGTTTGAGAGGAGTTGCGATGACAAGAAACAGGACTGACGGACGGACTGACGGACTGACAGACGGACTGACGGGTCAAAAACATTATACCCTCCGCAACCCATTGCATTGGGTATAATTAAGGGCATAACTCTAGAACAGTAAATGTCAAAAACAAACTTGACCTGTATTTCATGGTTCATAATACTGTGTTAAAATCCAAATACATTTTGTCAAACAATACTTTATTAATTATTATCTCTTCCCTAATGACAACTTGTAGAATCTTAACTTACATTTTTGGCAAAATTAGAAACTTCATATTGGTCAAATCCTCTACTTTCAAGAACCTATTAAATAGAAGCAGAATTTTATGAAATAAACACAATTTATATGCATATATGTCTACAAACAATTATAATATATAAACACCTGGTAATAAATTGTTCAAATAAGGCCTTTGAAAATAGTGGAATTAAATACTTTTGGAGTGTTAAAAATTCGTTGGAAGTACTTGATAAATTGCATGCTGATATTGGTGATTTCGAATCTGTTCAAAGTTTTGATTTTTCTACTCTATATACCACTTTGCCTCATAATCTTATTAAGAAAAAATTCACACACCTAATTAAATGGGCATTTAAAAAGTCAGAATGCGAATATATATGTTCTAACTCTTTTAGGTAATTTTTTAGTTACGACAGACAAAAGAACTATGTCAGTTGGACCTGCTTTGATACGATTACTGCCCTTGAATTTTTACTAGATAACATTTTTGTTCGCTATGGAGATTCCGTATATCATCAAGTTATCAAAATTCTAATGGGGACTAACTGTGCACCACTTATTGCGGACCTGTTTCTGTATTGTTATGATTTACAATTTATGACTAAAATCAGCAAAGACCCATCGAAACAACATCTGATACAAAAATTTAATAACACTTTTAGATATCTGGATATTGGCTCTCAATAATGACGACTTCAGTGTGTACACTAAAGAGATGTATCCTGCTGAACTGACTTTAAATAAAGCTAATACTAACAATGAACACTGCCCTTTCCTGGATCTTGATATCTATATCTTTAACAGGAAGCTTAATATCAAAAGGTGAAGGTCCGGTAAGGGCTAGTTTTGGCCTAAAATTCAAAGTACATCTGATGAAAGAGTTTTTACATTTTTTAAACACTTAAGTGTCTAATTCAGTTGATTCAATTAGTTAATGTAAAATATTTGAACTGATTGGTCATGAAAGAAGCAAAAATTCAAGCTTGAGTATGAAAAATCTATCAAATATGCCAAAATACGTCACTTTCCAGATAGTTTTTGTCTAAAATGGAAGTGGCCGCATTCGTGTTCAGTCTCAACCTTTTTATATGTTATGTATTATCATCAAATACAACATATATTTAAATATTAAGACTGAACACAATTGTGGCCACTTCCATTTTTGACAAAAACCATCTTAAAATTAGCACAAATGCTAAAATTGTAAAGATTTCAGTAATACTGCATGAATTTATGATGCTAGTACCTGATGCATGTGCATTGTATTGTCAAAAACAGCCTATATTCATGGAACAGAAGTATTCTTCTTTCAAATGAATAGCTAAAAGTTTACATTTCAACAAATTTGTAAAAATGCTATATTTTGGGGCCAAAAAGGGGTCATACCGGACCTACTCCTTTATGATAAAAGAGATGATTTTTCATTTCCTATTGTTAATTATCCATTTTTAGATGGTGATAAATCAACATACAGACATCTTATAGGTTCAGGTATTTCACATCCAATCTTTTATGGTAATAATCTATACAATGCACAAAAATGTTGACATTCACCTCAAAAGCTAACCAAACCTTTAAACAGACTTATTCAGAAGGGATATAGTTACGATACTGTTGTCAGGTGATTAAAGATGGCATATTTTGGTATTAATATTGATTCACTCATAGGGTCTTTGCATCGGAAATAAACACATTTATTCTAAAACCAGTTGTTGGCTTGATACGGGTTATGCTCTTCTCGCATATTTTATGATGGTATGATACTAAACCCCTATAAACGGGAGGGATTGCGCTTGATTTTCATATGATGAAGACATAATCTTTCAATCAGTTTAACTGAGGTCTGGAGCTGGCATGTCAGTAACTGCTAGTAGTCCTTTGTTAATTTATGTATCATTGTCATTTTGCTTAGCTTCTTTTGTTACCTATTCTGACATCGGACTCGGACTTCTTTTAAACTGAGTTTTCCTGTGCATATTGCTGTGTGTTTGATTATTCTACATTGGCTAGAGGTATAGGGGGAGGATTGACATCTCACAAAACATGTTTAACCCCGCCGCATTTTTGCGCCTGTCCCAAGTCAAGAGCCTCTGGCCTTTGTTAGTCTTGTATGTTTTGTAATTTTAGTTCATTTATATGTTTTGGAGTTTAGTGTGACGTCCATTTCCTTGAACTAGTACACATTATTGTTTAGGGGCCAGTTGAAGCCCGCCTCAGGGTGCGGGATTTTCTCGCTGTGTTGAAGACCGATTGGTGGCCTTCGACTGTTTTCTGCTCTTTGGTCGGGTTGTTGTCTCTTTGACACATTCCCCATTTCCATTTTCAATTTTATCATAAGCATTATCAGAAAATCTTTAAGAGTGTACATATTGTTTTTGACCTGTCTGTCAAACCATCGGTAAATCTGTTATGACTGTGTTGCCTCCTTGATAGCATCTTTACTTTTTATCTGGTCCTTTTAATTTTGAATGAATTTCTCTCATCAATATCTTGATTGAGTTTCATTATCACAAAATTAGAAATGTTGAACTATTTTACAATTATCACATATTTATTTGTGTCGCCTGAAAGGCATATTCATTTTTACAATGTATATTTTATCATACCTCAACAGCAGTCTCATACAGGTCTGCCATTACTTCATCATCAGGCAGGATCTGTAATTACAAAGAAAAACCCAAAATCTTAACTTCTGTACATAATGTACATAAATACTGGTAATTATGTATACTAAACTCTTAACAATTTTCTATTATTATATCAGTTTTTCATGGTATTTGTAGAAATTGATAATCATGTGCATGAAGGAGATGGGAGGTTTATGTAGAAATTGATAATCATGTGCATGAAGGAGATGGGAGGTTTATGTAGAAATTGATAATCATGTGCATGAAGGAGATGGGAGGTTTAAGTAGAAATTGATAATCATGTGTATGAAGGAGATGGGAGTTTTATGTAGAATTTGATAATCATGTGTATGAAGGTATGAAGGAGATGGGAGGTTTATGTAGAAATTGATAATCATGTGTATGAAGGAGATGGGAGGTTTATGTAGAAATTGATAATCATGTGTATGAAGGAGATGGTAGGTTTATGTAGAAATTGATAATCATTTGCATGAAGGAGATGGGAGGTTTATGTAGAAATTGATAATCATTTGCATGAAGGAGATAGGTTTAAGTAGAAATTGATAATCATGTGTATGAAGGAGATGGGAGATTTATGTAGAAATTGATAATCTATTGCATGAAGGAGATGGGAGGTTTATGTAGAAATTGATAATCATGTGTAGGAAGGAGATGGGAGGTTTATGTAGAAATTGATAATCATGTGTATGAAGGAGATGGGATGTTTATGTCAATGTAACAACTAAATAATACCAAAAAAATGTAAAGGTTAATATGCTGTCCTAAAAAATAGACAAATGTTTATATAATGTATCAAATTCTAAATTCCCCCCCCCCCCCCAGTCTATACTCTAGCTCTAGACCATCCAACTTCTGACAACAACAACTGCTTTTTCTTTTCATTAATTTGTGCATTACAAAAGGATAATTGTATGAATGTGCTATCTTCTGTCAAGCTTTAAACATTGGCAGCAATCTATTACTGGTAGTTACCTTCAGATAAATTCTTTTGATGAATTTTGTAAGTCTTACAAACAACAAGGTTTTAACTTCTTAAGTACTGTAAATTCAGAAGTTATTGTGTGCATTTATTTTTGTGAGTTTTGAAGAATGGACAACAATGTGAAAAATAATTATTGCAATTTCAGGAAAATCTGCATACAGATATATGTATTAGATATCAGAATGCAAGTTTTATTATTGTGATAATCACCAAGTCGCACTATTTGCCTTAAAAAAAATCATTGGAATAATTTCTAAAATTACAGTAAATGTTGGCTTTAGATATTTCTGATTTATATTGCTCACCAAGTATTTACACCTGAAACCTTTCTAAAATCATGGTTCTGAGTGTACAGTATAAGATAATACATAAATTATTTTCCAGATGGGCATAGACTATAATTTGAAACAAGTTTGTGTTTTAAAGATAGAAAATGTCCTACTATCTTCCCTTCCTAATATATTGTTCAAGGATTTAATAGCATCTGAATTTGGTCTTTCTGTAAATTTAAATTAACTATAAAGAACTTACCACAATTTTATTCTGGACCCATTTAAACAATGGAGTACCCCTTTCAACTGTTAGTTGGTACAGTGATATATGGTCATCACACAATGACAATAACTGAAATATATAACTAAGTATTAATAACAAAGTTTTAACTCACAAATACAAATACTAAAGGAGAAATGATTGAAGGATATATACACCTGCTTATAGATACCCGATTCCTCTCAAGGCATTTATTTTTTAAATATTTCATGCCTGACTTGAAGGTATTAACAAAACATGACATTGACAGCATATTGTGTTTCTAATTTTTGCATAAATGGTGGGAGAGTGAGATAAATGTGTGCATCCTTGCTATTTATAGACCTAACACCAACACAGTGATGCTAAATACCTATCAGGATACTTTAAACTCTGCTGAGTATAAGTCACTACCTTTAAGACAGCTGTCTATGTTTATTATTATTGCAAAAAGGGTAACTTTACTCATGTATACAAAACTACTCAATATATAATTTGAACAAGATTACTAAGCCATAGTAATATGTCCCCTATCACTGTGTACTTTTGAAAACAGTCATGTTGTTATACACAAAGGATAGTCAAAGTCCAATAACTCCTGTCAGCAGAAAATGTCAAATCAAAATGACAGTATTGAATTGACCTAATAATTGAATTACAATTGATAACAATTAATGCTACTGAATATGAAAGCTTTCTATCTAATGGTATCAAATGAGTTGCGCTGACAAGGTGTCTTTATACGCAATTAGGTCAAAAAATGGTTAAAAGTATTAAAATATTAACTTTCCTCTGATTACCTAAGCAGACCATACATCTCTGTTTTGTTTTGTTCAGACAATAATCTTTAATATTATTAATTCGTATTTTTTAACTAATTTGATTCTTTTCGAGATAGTCACATGTTAAACTGTATTTTCGAAGGTAGAGAGAAAACGGCGGATAGCAAAAAGCATATTGTACAGCAAAAAGCATATTGCACAGTTATTTTTAGTATATCTAAAAACCGATATACTTGGTGACGTCATGTAATGAATTTCATGATATTCAATGGTTAAAAGTTTTATAAAAAAATATCTATGATCGATTATTTGAAGAAAAAAAATCTTCATATACATAAGATGTAAAAAAAAAAAAGTAAATGAAATAACAATAACAACTTATGTGTTTTTATTGTCTAGGAGACAATATGATATCTATAAAATTCCAACAAAATCATTAAAAATCAAATCAGGATTTTGATACAAATATGGTCGGAAATTAATAATATAACAATTATAGCCTATTGATGAGGTCAATACAGGATATATCGACCCAAAGAAGTATATCGACCTCGGACTTCGTCCTCAGTCAATATACTTCTTTCAGGTCAATATATCCTTGTATCGACCTCATACAAAGGCTATAATAGTATATTACATTGTTTTATAGTAATATGATATGAAAAAAAAAACGGGACAATGTAGAGAGTTATGTATAAATATTTACATATAGCTTACCTGTTGTAATTCTTTGTTCCATTTCTCTACTGTTTGGTTAGGTCTACCAAATATGATATCTATGGAAACATCACCTGGATACAAATCCTTAGCATCAGATATACACCTTATTATATATAATTTATGTGTTAATATTTTCTCATTGCTATATCAGAACATAAATATAGGCAAAAATATTTCAAAAGTTGACCATATTTCATAATTTTTCTTGCAAAAGACCAGGAAATTGTATTTGCATACTTTTATTGTAATACCAAATGTCAATGCCAAAAATTAACGCTAAAAAACTAATAACTGAAATTTCCAATTATTTGTCAAAAATTTAAATATACATGTACCAAAAAGTAGTAAAATTATCACAGTACAAAATTGTATGAAGTATAAAAATGTCATTTATACTGTATAAACATCAAACATAGTCATGATGTGATTACAAAATACAGTTGAAGATAAGACTACAAATATTCTTCTTACCTTTTTATAGTAGCAACCTATAACTTGATCATTCTCATCACCCAAAATTTTTTACTTTGTAAAATTTACCTTATTGCATCTTCAACAGAATGCTGTCTGCCTAGAAATTCTAAATCTTCATTGTAAAGGCTCTATAAAAATAAAGAAAAACAAATGTTCTTAAATTAAAGAGACGATAAGCAGCTGTCAAAACGACAGCAAACTAATTTTCATTAAATTGATTCGTGTTATCATTGAAGAAATCAAGGACCATAACTCCTAAAAGACAAAATTGAAAATCATACTTGACTCATTTTTGTAATGGAACTACAACAACATAAAATATTTTTAAGAATGGGGCTCCAGAAGGGCCCTTAGGTCACATGGTCACATTTAAAAATTGCCTCAGGTCACAAGTCACTGTACAGCAAGTTAAAACAGACATCCCCATCCCATTTGTTCACACGTTCCTGAAAATTCATAATTCATAGGTCCTTTTAAATGAGGCGTCATGTCGTAAGGTCTTCTGCCAAACATGTCAGATTTTATGATGTTAGAGGCACAGGATTGGTTGAACAATTCTCGGGTTATTGCCCAAATTAATAAACAGATTTTTCATGTCTTAAAATCCAAAGACAAATACAAATACATTACCTGAACACCAATTGATAATCTGTTAACCCCAGCATCTTTAAATTCCCTAAAACATCAATATGTAGAAATCAGACAAGAGAATTCTGCTCAAACCGGTGCTAGGGGCCGTCTTAAACTTACAGTGAGGCGAGAGTGTTTTTTGCTCCGTGTTGGAGGCCTCAGTGTGAATTTAAGATGAGAAACAGCAAAAATACTGCTGTTCCTTTGCTTTTTGTGTGTTTTTTGCTGATAATGTTCTGACTTTTGTGTCATGGATGGATACCCCAATATATCCTTTGTTTTTCTATTAAGTTAATGGAAAATTACAGTAATTATTTCAGTTAAGTGATATCACAGACAATTTCATCTTCAAAAAAAGATTCAAATTTCAGATTTTTATGGGTCTAGGGTTGCTGTCTCATTGATATATCCTTTTTTCATATTCATATTCCTACAAATTATCAGTGTTTAACAAGAACCTCTTGGATATGTCCGTTATAAACTATCTAAAAATATTTACACGTGCTTTTTTTAATGAGAAAAAAATATATATTTCATACAAGTCTATTTCATTACATATATAAAAACAAGTGATTGTTACCACTACATATATATTTTACTTTAATTTGGCTCTCTCTGTAGTTGTGGGATTAGCTTCTAAGGTAATCTCTGCATTTTCAGGCAGAGTAACACTACTCTGAACAGCCTGTATCACAGATGCAATCATTCCAGTTTCTGCCAGACTTGGAGTACCTGAATAATAAAATGTAGAATCTAGTCTGACAGATGACTTTTATAATCATTTTCTTAATACATGTGATGGACATGAAGCATGAAATGAAGCATGAAATCAACTGAAATTGTAAATGATTGCCAAAAGGATTTTTAAGGCTGGCGTATTGGTAAAAATATTTTCAAAAGGAAAAGCACTGAAATTGTGTATATATGATAGAGAACGAAGTCCTCACTTCAGTAGAAAAATCAATATAAAAAATCTATACAAGTGAATCCAAATTGTAAAATTCAGTTTTTCTGTCTTTCACACATGCCTAGTATAAACCCTAATGGAAGTTGCCATGTTGGTTGAATCCATGTCATCTTGTACCTTTCAATAATATATTACTAAACCAAAATTTACATATTTTCACACTTTTTTTATGATTCAGAAATATTGATTGATTGATTGTTGGTTGCTTAACGTCCAGTGGCAAATACTTCATGCATAATCAGGACGAGAACAAATTAACAATAAATACAATAGGTAGGTTCTGTAATAGGGGCGTCCGGGATTAAGGTCGGAGAAATTTAGACTGCCACGGGAAATGAAGGTATATTGGATAGGGACAGAAATTTAGCCTTGCAACAGGTCACCTACGGACCCCTCAAAGAGTTGTTGCAAGGGTTCTTAACGTGCAAAGAGCGTGGCACTCTCGTTACACGAGGCATGGGATTTAACGTCCCCATTCTGACCGGACATGGCTGCAAATTTGTACATCCCGCACAGCCAAACAGACGCCCCACTTTAGCAAGGGTTTTACTGCCAGTCGGAGGAAGACCAATGGTGACCATACTTCTATTCCCCAGTCACCCTTGGGGGTCAGAAATATTGAGCACCTGCAAGTACCACAAAAAGTTTACATTAAAAGTGTTGTTAATATAGTTCAATATTGTTTTAAATTATTTAGTTTGTACCTGCATGTGCTCTATATTTGAAGGTTCAAAAGCAATCTGAAAATTAACAAAAATCTATGTATTTTTCACAAAAACATGTAGAAGCGCCTTTTCTTTGATGTCACAACAGCATTTATTGTGATGTCAAACATCAGACATTCAAATTTCAGTTAAAATTATACCCTTATCACACAAAATATCACCATCAAAATAATAGATCTTGTCCTCTTTCACAAGTTACACTTGCCATACATTACAAAATTTTAATCCTGGTATCTGTGATGAGTATATTAGAGAAAAACAGATTTTTTTTATATCTTAATGACATCATACAAATTGTAAATGTTATTCAAAGTTCTTACCACCTCCAAAATAGACAGATTTTATTTCAGTTATTCCGCTTATTTTGATCAAAGTCTCTACTTCCTTCATCATACAGTTTGTCATTCTAGTATTATCTACATGATTTCTGTAAAATTAACATTTAATATGGTTATCATTAGTATGGATAACAAGGGAATTTTTAAATGGCCTTACTGAGTTTGTATTAAAGCAAAAATCAAAGCCTAAAAGAATATTTTAAATCAGCTTTAGTTCATTGCGTTTTGAGTAAAATAATTTAAATTTTTTGGTCTATTGGAAATAGCTAAGTTAAAATCAATGGTACAATAAAGCTTACAATTACAATTACATGTACAACATACCTGATATATTTATTGAAGTTACAGTATGAACACATCTTAGCACAATATGGCCACTGAAAATAAAGCAAAAATATGTATTTTTTTTCATTTGGTGCAATTGTATACCATACTAAAACTGAGAAAAAAAGTAATTAAATATGAATGCCAACTGTAACGTGCAGGATATTTGGTTTTATATGTGATAAAGTTCTTATGCAATACTGAAAAAACAAGAAAGTCAAAGATTATTTAAAAACTATGTTAAAAAAGTTCTATCAGTAAATAGAAATTCTAGACAAAACTTTTGTCATTGATGGACTGCCAAACGAACAAAACAAAAACAATATGTTTCCTTACATATGTAAACACATTTATAATCTAACATCAACAAGAGAACAAAATAAGGTACATGCAGTCTGAACATATGAAAGGTGAAAGTGAAATTTCAATCCTGTTATTTTATAGGGCTTGTGTTGCTCAGTCTTTGGTTTTCTGAGTGGTGTTTTGTTATTGTTGTTTGTTCTATCATCTTTTTAATTTTTGGCCCTGGTGTTTTGTTTTTATTGGTTTTGGATTGCCAATTTTTTTTTCTCTTTTTTTCCTGTCTCTGATAAGGCTTTCCCATTCAGATCGTCCCTGAGGGTATCTGAGATTTCCCTCCCTTGCTCTCTTGTAAAGTGTTGGTTCTTTTTCTCCTTTTTTCAACTAAATTGATTATCTATCACGACAGGTAAACTTTCAATCAACAAATAAAGAGGGGAAGCTTTACACAATAATAAAAAAACTGACTTTATAATACGTAAATACATACATGAACATAAAGTGTTGCTTTGTTTTGAACACTACATGCAGTTTCTGCCAGTGACTGAATCTGTCTTCTAGTTGTCTGTTGAAGCACTGATGCAATTAATCCATGCAGTTTATACAAATGGTTAATATGTTTCATTATTTTCTGAAAGAAAGAAAAAGTTAATACATCAAATTAATCTAATTCTCTAATGCTGTGTCTATTTATGAGGGTAGGAATGCCCTTTACCGTCAGGCGTCAAATGATCATTTTCGGCTACCGTTAAGTGTCAAATTGTTAAAATTTTATCGTGATTCCTCAAAATATCCTTATTGTGATACGTCAGAGGTCTCAAATAAATATCCGTTAACATTGTTTTTAGAAAGAATTGAACGTGATTCGTCAAAATCAGTCAATTTTTTTATCATCATAAAGAAAATGTACATTTTTACGCCAAGTACTAAAAATTACCGTTAACGTCATTTGGCAACATTTTTTTACCATTCTTCATCATGAAGGCACCCCCATTTCGACCCTCATTTATACTTTGATGACCATTTTAGTATTCTTAACAATGTGTGATTTGTAGATTGGTTGTTTTGAGTTTTATAAAAATGAAAATTAATCATGACTGCAAATGTTGTCTGATTTTGCTGATTTAATGGAGGGGTTAAATAAGTGACCATGCCTGTATGATGTAAAAAAAAAAAGGAACACATTTTTTCTCTAGATCATGGATAGAATGACCATGTTTGTAAAAAAATTGAGCAAAATACTATAGAACAGATTTTATTACTGCCTCACAATCACATCCAAAACGGTAATCTTTCACTCTGGATTGTTACATTTACAAATGTTTCAAATAGTCTTCAAGCATTACATTTAAAAATCTAACAAATTTTATTAGAGAAAAATTGAATCCCTCCAGGTGAGATAGTAGAATCTACACATCTAATAGTGACCTCTCTTTTCAATTTTTCTTTCCAATTTGTTCTAAATAATTCCATCCTTACAATCTATTTTATTCAAATGTAAAACTGTTGTAAATGAAGATATGTTTGTAATGTTTATTTTTGTTCAAAATGCAATTTAATTAGTAAGAAAAGTTTTAATGAAGACTGGCTGCAGGATTGAAACTCTTCCAATGCTTATTTGTCTGTGGAAAATCAATGATATACCTATTTGCCCTTGTCCAGTTGGGATGGTTAGAATTCACATTGGGATTTACAAAATATTCTGGCCTCATGAAGCCAAATATAAGTAGAACTGTGTGTGAACTCACAAAAGGATGCCATTGCCTCACCAAAAAAGGAAATTAACTATAGGGAATAAATAATTGTCTCTTTAGTTGTAATTTTTTCTATAGAGCAGTGTTCAAGCTTGAATCTTTGGGCAGAAGGGCGCTAGTTGACTAAAAAGGGCACTTTTAAAAGCGCAATCATTCAAATTTTTTACTGCACTGACTATTGTACAGTGTATTAAAATGACCTTGTGTATACCCAAACTACAGAAAACACACCTATCAAATTAGCAATATAAGGCAATTATGAAAATTTTGACCTTATTGTGCTATTAGCGCAATCACTAAAAACATAAATCCTTATTGCAAGTCTCAACTGTAGGACAAGCATGTTAAAAGGTATTTTGTTCTTGATATTGGTTCTAATTGAAAAAAAATGTAGTTCTACATGTTTATGATGTCATAGTGACATCACAGATGACTTTTCTGCACTTTAGTGTGCATATTATATTAATATGTTTTCGACAAGAATTTAATTAGTAAGACTATACAAGCACAAAATGTACTTGTGTGTAATAATTATGAAGCAAAAAAGCAACTGTCAATAACATACATGTATACAATACATGTATGTGTCATGCATGTATGTACAAGTTATTTCAATGTAAATAATATTATTTGTTAACAGTTCAATTTTGCATGGATACATTCATCATTTAAGTTTGGCTGTTCATTTTATAGACTGTTACAATGTACATGTATCTGACTGTACCTAAACATTGAAAATTCTGATGGTTTTGTTCCATTTCATGCACATGTATTATTAGATTATAATATAAAACTTACATGTTTTGCTTTAGGGAGTGATAATGTGATATTTTGAGCATAGTTTTTCGTCAAAATATAACACTCAAAAATATTTATGTCTAAAACATTTTTAACAAGATATGTGATTTATTTTATGTCCAATTAAATATTAAAAGGAAATCAAAGTTGTTCAATTGTAAATGTACTGTACATAAACATAAGGAAATGAAACACATGTGGATCTTTTCATATTGCATAAAATATCTTGTACTTGTTCAATCGTCTTTCAACAACTTCTTGACAGAAGGCTGAACCAAATCATCAACAGAGGTGATGAAACTGTCAAAGGCTAAATTTGTACCTGTATGTCATTGCCAGTTAATTAGTGTGTTTAAACAATCACGATTTATCAAATAAATAGAATTAAGACAGATCTTTACTGAGTTTGGCCACAAACTGTGATTCATTACAATACAGGAAAAAATCTGTGATTAAAGGGGTGCATTTGGTGCCTATAGGAATACATACAACCTATAGATAAACTATATTGCTGAAACCTACATAGAAGCTATCAAGGAGATAATTTACAGCTTTTATCATGTCATCACAGTTCAAGTAAGTATATTTTGTATATCTAGCATATGTATCTTTTAAAATTATGCAAAAGATTCAGTCAATCAAGGATTTGTATAGTGAGATCGCAATATGCAAATCCTTGAGTCAATAGACCATGACTTGGGTTGGTATCGGGTCTGTTTGCGCCCAATACACGTTCGCACCCTACACGTTCGCACCCTAGGTCCGTTCGCACCCTACACGTTCGCACCCTTTTTTTTATTCAAAAACCTGATAAATTTTTAGATGTTTTGTAGATGTTTATATCAAAATAATTTTTATTTTCATAAATAGAAATTCGGGAATTTCTAAATGAAATATTGTTTTAAATTGATTTGATGATTAATTATTAAATGTTAATTATGTATGATTACTGCTAATTGGTATTTATACACAGCCTAATATGGTGTTATTGTTGAGTGTTTAAAAATCATGATTGTTGTCATGGTTGTTTTAACTTGCTTTAAATGTAAATACTGTATGTATTTAGCTTGGTATGAGTAAAACTTTGAAGATTTTAAATAAAAAACATGAAAGATAATTATCACATTGTAGTGATAACAGCTTGGCTCCTTTGATCTCATGTGTGTCAGAATCTCACGATATTCATAAACAATGAAAAAAAATATTTATAGCAATACACTATCCAAAACATGATTACGAATTATTCAACACATAAAAAAAAACGTTGTCAGAATCCCATTTCTTTTGAAACAATAAAAAAGAAATATTTATAGCAATACACTAACCAAAACATGATTAAGATTTTATCAACACCTAAAAAAACGTTGTCAGAATCTCACTTTATTTAGAAACAATGAAAAAAAATAATTTATATTTATAGGTAAGTGTATTGCTCTATATATATCTATATATATAGAGAGAGCAATACACTTACCTAAACATGATTAAAAATTATTCAACACATAAATAAATTACTGGTTGTCAGAATCTCACTTTATTTAAAAACAATGAAAAAAAAAAGTTTATATAACAATACATTTACCATGACACAAAAAAAAAGCTTGCCAGAATCTCACTTTATTTAGAAACAATGAAAAAATATATATTTATAGCAATACACTTACCAAAACTCGCTTACAAATTATTAAACACAAAACCAATAAAAATTGGGCGCGAACGTGTAGGGTGCGAACGGACTTTGGGTGTGAATGTGTAGGGTGCGAAAGTGAAAGGGGGGTGAACGTGCATGGGGGTGAACATGATTGGGTGCGAACGGACCCGGATTCACTTGGGTTGGGCCCAAGTCTCCTGGAAATGAAATGTGCCAACTGCATATAAAATATCAATGCCTAACTCTTTAGTGATTCCCCCTTATAATGACCTTATCACAATTTTTCATATCTCAAACGAATTATAAAAATTCCATTTGGGCGATTTATGAATTATCCCAACACATTCCAAAGACCTCTACGTACAACATATCTCAAATCATAAAATATCAATTTAATGTAAACATTCTTATGAATTCCCTATTCCTTCATGTCTCATTTAGAATTAATAGAGCGTTGTCAAGCAACAAAACAAGCCCTGAAACTGAAAAACATGAAATTACTGATTTCCTCTCTCACTGCGGGGACTACAGAGAAGGGAGAGATACGTGTCTAATGCCGGCAAAATATATGAAAATGACAGTGCTACAAAAAAAATCCCCAAGATGAGGAACACCAACGAAATAGATCTTCCTCTACATTATACATGTTGTGACTTTTAATCAGTGATATAAGCTTAACCACTACCGATTTTACAATAGATACAATTAATTAGATTTGTATATAGAGTTTTGCTATTTTGCCGGTGTTATTTCAGATTTTTTTCAGTGCAGACCATATATGAAATAATTTTTTTTTGAAATCATTGACGTTCGAAAATGGAAGATTATACTTTGTTGTTAAAAAAAACTTGAAATAAACGATACGTTCAACTCATACGAAGAGCTAATGCAGTTTTTGGAGCACTTTGAAAGGGACAACTATACGCTTTGTAAGTTTAGAACCACAAATCATAGACTACATATAGAAACAGGACGTGGAATGATATAGAAAGGGAAAATAGAAAATGTTTGAAATGTAATAATAACTGTATTGGGGATGAATATCATTATATTCTTAAATGTAAAACATCTGAAACTTGAAAACCTAAAAGATGAAAATCTGTGGCAAAGACCAAATGTTTTGAAATTCTAAGAAATTATGAGTTGCACAGACAAGTTTGAATTAGAAAAACTATCACTAGTAGATTTATACGCAAAATAAATAAATCATTTGTTCTCTCGGCATTAACAAAACCCCCAATTCTTGTATATTTATTGTACATAATGATATATGTGTATGTGGGTTTTTACTGATAATGGTTGTATGGTTCTGTCACTGAAAAATAAGGAGATGTGGTATGATTGCCAATGAGACAGCTATCCATCAAAGTTCAAATGTAGTGAATGTAAGCAATTGTAGGCAACCGTACGTCATTCAACAATGAGAAAAACCCATACCGTATAGTCGGATATAAAAGGCCCCGACATGGAAAATCTGAAACAATTCAATTGAGAAAACTAACGTGCTTAATTTATAACAAAACAATTTACGAAAAACAAATATGACAAACATGAACCAATGAAAACCACTGAACTAAAGGCAGGCCAGGCTGACTTGGGGCAGACACATCTAGAATGTGGCTGAGTCAAACTAGTTTTAAGGCGCCAACCCTCCCCTAACCTGGGACAGTGGTGTAACAGAACAACACAAGCACAACTATGCAAAACAATAACAAATATGAGAAACAGCAAAAAACGACAACCACTCAATTACAGGATCCTGACTTGGGACAGGGCACATACTCAATGTAGCGGGCTTAAACTAGTTTGCTGGCGCGAAACCATCATCTAACCTTGGACAGTGGTGTTACAGTACAGCATAAGAACAAACTATAAAAGTCAGTTGAAAAAGGGCTTAACTCATCAGATCGATACAAAGACGTGTGTATGGTGTTATTATAAATAAGTTTGTTTTCATACATATATGTATGTATATCTCTGTACCATTGTAATTTATGGTCTATGAAAATAAAGATTATTGGTATACTGTATTTCTTTTTTATTCTTAATTAGTAAACTGAAAAATCTGAAATAAGACCGGCAAAATAGCAAAACTCTATATAAATCTCTATTTTGCCGGAGCCGGTAAAATAGCACCCAAGAGGCTATTTTTCCGGAGCCGACAGAAAAGCCACTGCCTAATATAAAAGGCAAGTATTTCAATGTGTGTAAAATTACTACATTTTATAATAATTCTAGTGAAATTGAGCCAGGGCCATTGACCCATTGCAGTTAGATTGACTTGTAATGCCGTAGATACATCTTCCTAAATATGACATATGCATGAAAATTTGAAAATGTCAGTGAACGTTATCAAACAACACTGACAATCAATGTCGGATCAACTTGTTCAAATTCGACATATTCGTTGATTTGATAAGTTATGTACTTGAAGACATAAGAGATAAGTAGAGATAAGTTTTCTAATCATAATACTCTTAACAATAAGCAATGAGAATCGAATTTCAGGTTTCTTTGTTTTACTTAAAGAACATAGAATTTCGGCTCATTACTGCAGTAAGTATCTACATGAGAGAACAAAACAAAATGTGGAAAATATGTAAACATGAGAAGACAGGATGTTCCCATACTTTCGAAATGTGATATCCTTCCGTATGCAATGTAAAAAAATATTTTGCACTTTCCATCTCTGTTTAATATTAACAATAGGAGGGAGATATCCATAGTACAATAGTCATAAACTTCCTTTACACAAGACGTTTTTCTCTCTACATGCAGTTTTGGAAGGGGTTAAAAATATTGCGAGTTATTCAAGTCAAGTTTCAGAACTGTTGATTTTCTTCTGTATTTGCACTGCACTGTGCACAAGTGCTTTGCATTTTTTATCAGTTGTAACTCTAGCTCTTTTTTTAAAGAACAAATCGAAAAAGACATCTTTAGAACTAGAAACGACAATGTAAACCTTCATGCGTCCGAATCTCTCATCTACGGTTTACCGTCGGATTCCACCACGCTAATCTCAATGGTGCAAACGAAAATGCTTCAAGTCAGCAAAACAATACAATAAATCAATGTCAAATATTTTCATAAAACAAACTTGGCGATAATTGAATGATGAATATAGTGTAATATATTCATATGTTTTGGAGTTTAGTGTGACGTCCATTTTCACTGAACTAGTACACAATTTTATTTAGGGGCCAGCTGAGGACCTCCTCCGGGTGCGGGATTTTCTCGCTGCGTTGAAGACCCATTGGTGGCCTTCGGCTGTTGTCTGCTCTTTGGTCGGGTTTTTGTCTCTTTGACATATTCCCCATTTCCATTCTCAATTTTATACAAAAGAAATTCAATTCATACTGTATAATTCTAAATTAAATATGTTTCTTCAAATTTTAAACCCCTGAAGGGTGACTCGGGAATATATTTATTGTCACGTTTGTCTTCTTCCGACTGGTAGTATATATAACCCTTGCCAAAGTGGGACGGTCGTTTGATTGTGCGGGGTTTATAAAATGCAGTCACGTCTGGTCATATTGGGACGTTAAATCCGATGCCTCGTGTACAGAGAATGCCACGCTCTCCGACGTTTGATACCGTCACAACAACTCTTTGAGGAGTTCGTATGTGACTTGTTGCAAGGCTAAATTTCTGTCTTTATCCAGTACACCCTCGTTTTCCAGTGGCAGTCTAAATTTCCCTCCCGTCATTCCGGTCGAGCCTTATTACAGGACCTAACCCTATTCTATTTATTGTTAATTTGGTCTCGTCCTTAAACATGCAGGAAATATTTGCCATTGGACGTTAAACAAACAAGAATCAATCAATCACATTTCAATTTCAAGTTCAATCATGAACTTTATCCAAATAAATTATTGGGGTACACTAAAAACTAAAAGTTTCTCGAATTTTGATTACAGTCACGAAATTTCCAACATAAATGAAATTAAATAAAGTTTTACATGATTAATTCCCGAACAACGATATGCATCTTTTCTGTGAAGAGTGAGTCACTCCTTGGCTGCTCTATTGCAAATGAGAAATAATCGCAACCCTGACGAAAAAAGCGGATTTAGGGCCACAATATCTTATCTATTTCGGAACTTTCATAAGCTTTCTTTAAACTGGGACTATTTATACTATATATGTATTATGTCCCAGCTCTAAACAAAACAAATTTCTCTGTAATTTTGATCTATACTATAGATACTAGTACTGTTATCTTTAGCCACCTCAATGAATGATTGGAACAGTGTATTTCTTTGCAGTAATATTTAACGGAAAGAATATAGATGCCGGATCAAACGAGGGGGAGCATTTTCGCGCAGGAGCCGGGGGAAAGGGTATTTGCCCCTATTTTCAAAGTTTTTACCACTCACTTCAAGATAAAATTAAAATATCGATTGAAAAAATGTAAAATGAAAGAGGACAACTACAAACTCCAAGACTATTATACTATAACAAACTTTTTTTGTTCGTCATTTTCAGAAATTCACTGAGATATAAGTCAAAAGACACGACTATTGAACGTATAATGCGCTCATCAACAAATAATTCTTTTATTATACTTCACGTTAAAATGCCATATTTTGATTGGCTAATACGAGGGTGTTAATTTACTCTATTACCCTATTATGGAGACGCTTGATCAAGAGTGCGCTTTATTAAATACGACTCTATCCTATGGCAAATACTCTATTACCCTTCACGGAGATGCTTGATCAAGTGTGCGCTTTATCAAATACGACTCTATCCTATGGCAAATACTCTATTACCCTTCACGAAGACGCTTGATCAAGTGTGTGCTTTATTAAATACGTATGATTGTTATGTACAAGACGTCATAGTTTATTACTTTGAATTTGAAATTTAATCGACAGTAATAACAGAACATTCAGTATAATAAATTAAATAACACATATCTGAGAGGGGGTGATAGAGCAGATTGTTACCCCTCGAAAAGACATTGTCAACCTTGGCTTCGCCTCAGTTGACAATGTTTTCTCGGGGTAACAATCTGCTCTATCACCCTCTCAGCTATGTGTTATTTATATAATGTTGTCGTGACCCATCAAATTTCTTATATTGCCTGAATTTTTTTAACTTTTAAATATACAATCCGGTTTAAAAATAACACTATACATAAAATGATTAAATCACCAGGAAGTTTACATAAACTTAAAACCAATTAACATCCTTGTCTAAAAAATTAATACTGAAGGAAGTAGGAAACAAAGTAAGTTTTTTATTTTACTATGATAATAGAAAATTAAATCAATTAACGTTAATTAAGAAAACCTTATCTATTTTAGAATCTACATGACTGACCTCTGTCATCGAGACTCAACGGTGAATTAAGATATCACAATGACGAGACTATAATAGCAAATGCTTTAAAAGTTGTCCTTTTATAACAAAATGCGACCGTGCGAATGATACTCAAGTGAAAATTTAAAAACAATATTCAGAATAAACATTATGCATGTATGTTTTTACAGTGATAACAAAATAAAGTGTGAAATAATCTACTCAAGGCAGAAACTAAATACTTAAGATTGAACGGAAGTATTTGTCCCTTTCCTCCTCTATCTCGTTGTGTCATATTTCCGATCTTGATATCATTTATATGAGAAGAAATAGATAAAATTATGATACAGTGGAATTAAAAAGGTGTGAAAAGTATTCGACTATCCAAGGTAATGTACACTGATGTCGTAAGTTAAATTTTATGTTTCTGACATTTGTATTTTTTCTACTCCACCCTACTCAGATCGTTCCCTACGCCAAATTAACAATATTAACAGAACTTCACTTCATGATTTAGAAACTGTACTCGTTGTTTTCATATTACCGGACTTTCTCGTTTGCAAGACTTCTCTTTCCATATCATTCAGTATATTAGTGTACGACCATCTAAAGTTCATGGGGAAAAGGGGACTGGAGAGGTGCCTGACATTGCAACTGGCAAATTACATAATCTTTCCAGATATAGACAGCTTGGAAAATTAATATAGCTGGCCTATAAAAGTTGGAAGTAGTTCTGCATGAAAAATTGAAATGAATAAATATGCAGCATGTCTCTCTAAAAAATATTCATTACCCGCAATGATTGAAAACAAATATTATCCTCCTCTACCACCCGAATATCAAATGGTCGTTTCTTGGCAAGTATACATTAACTAAAATTATTAAACCAAAACAAAAACAAAAAAGACAAGACTAAAAGGGGGGTTCAGGCCCCTAGCGCATGGATTTTCTGGGCCATTGTTTTCTATGCCTTTTTATGGATTTGTTCAGATGAAACCTTTGAGTAGTAATATACCACTATTCTTAAACTTTGTTATGTCCAATATTAGGTCAGGGGCGGATGCAGGACTTTTGAATGGGGTCGTAATTCCAGAAAACGCAATAAATACCAAAAATATTTGGACGATTTTATGCTAAAAAAATATTTATTTTCCAATTAATGCATGGGGGCGTACGCCATCTACGCCCTCCTGAATCCACCACTGTATGTTTTAAATACACATATAAATATATAGCCTCAATATCTCTTGTTATATTTAGTATGTAAACTTAAATGTTATGTTATAAATATTTGATAAGAGGTAAAGCTAAAACTTTAAAAATGGTTTCAGATAAGTGTACACATAATTACCTCCGATATCCGGATACAATCGTATAGACATCGTATAAGAGTGGAAATCTTCTCTTCCCTGACATGACTTTATTATTTCACAGGTCACTGAGTGAAAACTTTTTTGATATATAACGAGTATTTTTTTTTTAATATTTTGCAAATATCACCTTTTAAATGAATGACCCAACCGTTCAGTCGCTTGAATTGTATTTTGTTTTAGCTAAATTGAATGGCTAATATAACTAAAACGATTGAATAAAAGGAGGTACAGACCCGTCCCCCCTCCCCCCAAAAAAAGCATGAGATGGACACAAGCTTTAAAAAAGAATAGTATGCAGAGAAAAATGATAGATATTTTACTGATAAAAAGACTTAGTTAACAAGTAGATACAGTCTGGGGTTACAGTTTGTTACAGATCAATTGATTTGTCACTTTTTCATAGAATTTATTAAACTTTGACAGAAGAATGTTTATGAATAAGAGATAATGTCTGAAGCAAAATTTAAAAAAAATGAATTTCTTTCATTTTCAGTATTTTACTGATAGATGGGCTTAAGCAAACATTTACAGATAGTTTAATTTTTTTTTACATGATAAATTTGTAAACCATCACGAATTGTTATGAAACTTGGACATAAGCTAATCTTCACGCTCAAGAAATAGCATCTCAAGAAAAAGTATGATTTTTTTTTTAAATCTGCTTTTTAATGATAAATGGATTCACTTTTTACATCCAACATTACACGTTTACCACTGACAGCAGCAATCACAGGCGAGACACAGGGTTCCGCGGAACCCCTTTACGAATCTTATTCATGATCAGTGATAGTTAACTTTCTCTTTCTCCCATGATGAGACTGATTTTCTGACAAAGTTGTTAATAGAATTATTATCTATCAAGCCTTGCACAACAATGCGTCTAAATAATTTCATCTAATCCAGGATCCAGGATGCAAATTGCTGATTTTCCTTATAGCTTATAACTGTCGTATCTCACAATCACTTACATATAGTACAATATAGTAACAAGATGCCTGTCTAAACGGCGGACAGACTGGTAGTTTTTAAAACTTTTGATATTGATAACATTTGCTTCCTCCAAAAGTCAGAGAGAGAGAGTTCATTTTCTTCCTTGGTCAAAAAAAAAACAGTATCAATACCATAATACGTAACTAGGCCGTTATAGTTTTCTCAATTGAATTGTTTCATATTTTTCATGTATGATCCTTTCATAGCCGACTATACGGTATGGGTTTTTTCTCAGTGTGGAAGGCCGTACGGTTGCCTATAATTGCCTTCATCCACTTTGGTGGATAGTTGTCTCATTGGCAATCATACCACATCTCCTTATTTTTATATGGTATGATGATAACTGGGAAGTCAGCACTATTTGTGCATAAACCTGCAACCTACTTCAAAATACTTATTAATAAGCATAGCAAATGGACACTGAACAAAGGTCTTGTGTTTTGATCTGTTACCTAGTTCGTAAACATGTTCATGTCTAATTGAATATACATGACATACTTGCCACTGGACGTCAAAGATGTATATAGTAAAAACTTTCCACAGAGATAATGCAACTACAGCAGAATCCACTTTCAACGTATAATCTCAAGGGAAATAACATTATGTATAGTAAATGCATCTTTGAAGTAGAAAAGCTATAAGCTGAACAAAGTCAATTGAATAAACTGATATACATGCTATATATATTATATATAGTTTCTATGGAGGATTGTGAGGATATATTTCTACAAAAGGCTTGGTATTGACTAAATATTTATCTTTTCAGAACTAAACTACAGTCATCATGGATGGAGTCATACCAGCAGGCATATTTAATGCCTTCCGGACGAATGGCGCACCGACATATTATGGTCCTAACCAAACACCATTTGAAGCAGATATTCTGGAGTCTGGATTCATATTTGCCTTTGTGATATTAGCAATTTCTTTCTTTGTAGTTCTACCAGGAATACGAGGGAAAGAGGTAAAATATAAAATGAAAATATCTATCACTGTTTAATAAAAGTCAAATAAAAACTTAATTGTTGAGATCATTGATTTGAATTTCAAGGCTCTGATTTGTTAAAACGTACCCTGAAAATATTTATACATATTTAAAGTGTCATGGTACACACTATTTACACTGTTAACGGACTTCCTTCTTGCCAACAGCCCTCTTGACCATCAGGTGTTGGAAGTTTTTTACATATCGCTGTAGACGGTGTTTGCCAGATTTTTCGTGCTATTTGCATATTTCAATCTCGGTATTCCAAACTTAATGTTTTATTTGATATGAATAAAAGGAGATCTTAGGTAAACGTCAACGACAAAGAAACCCAACGGTTTAAATTACAAAACAATGTTGACTTGTGATTCTCAATTTCAAGAGGGACAAATTGTAGTGGGAGACCTGTTTCGCTATTCAAATCTTGTAGATTTATTTGGATTGTTTCTTCATATGCTTTACGTTACAGTTAGAGATATCGTCAATACTATTAAGCATCTACTCTGAATCTATTACGCACTTCATGTTGTTGCTAAAACATCAGAAAACCAGTGTTCCTTATAATACAGAGAAAGTCTTGATTTTTTTTTAATCGTGTTTCTGTATGTGAAATTAGATTAAGTCCGTCCTACTACGAGTTACATAGTATTTATCCACAATCAGATATGTTGACAGAGAACAATCATAAGCTATAATAAGAAATATACCTCAGTTTGTTTGAAATTTAAAAAAAAAAATTAATGATTCTTCTATATCCTTATTCTATTATAGAGATTATTTGTATTCATACGGGTTACAGTGACACTGTTTATTGGTGGAGTTATAATGCGTATGTATTTATAAACGAAAATGATTAATAACAATAACCGCCGCTTTATATATATTAATAACAGTCAATAGTTTGACAGTGTAAGAACTGAAAAGTTAAAAAATAAAAAAAGGAGTAAACAAATTGTGAATAAAACCATAACTGAAATAAAACACGGACAACGTCAAGCATAACAACGAGTCACAAACAATACCAAAGCATGCTTAGCAAAATTGTGAATCTAGGGTAAACAAAAGTGAAAAGAGAATGTATGTCTGGCGATATCAGTACTCACTGTATACAAGCTCCAAAGCTCCATACTTCGAATCTGTCGACATCTTATAGTTTTAAGTTGAGAAAAAGTAAAATAACAAAAACACCGAACTCCAAGGAAAGTCCCTTATCAAATGTCAAAATCAAAAGCTCAAACATATCAAACGAATGGAAAACAACTGTCATATTCCTGACTTGTTACAGGCATTTCCTTATATAGAAAATGGTGGATTAAACCTGGTTTTATAGCTAGCTAAACTTTTCACTTGTATGACAGTCGATATTGACAACAATGTGTGAACAAACTAAGACATCAACCTGCTCGCAATGAGGACATCAACATTCAAAAAGAAGTAGTGTGTGTGTCAATGAGACAGCTACCCAACGCAAGGTTGGGCGGTATTTACCACCCCCGGTATTAACCAGTGGTATTTACCGGTATTTACCGCCCCGAACAATACTCCCCAAGTGGTCAATACTGGCAAATACTGGTCAATTGAAATTTTCATGCTTCTTTTGACTGACTTATCTATCAATTCTAGTAAAAAAATGGTTGATGAGGGAAAACTTTATTCCTTTGGAATGATTCAATTTATAAAAATCAATGATATTGGTATGTTATTAATTATTAAAACATTAAAAATGACTAATTTAGTTCTTAGGGGTAATGATATTGCATACTTTTGGTATACATATAAAATTGAGCAGCTATATCAGTTATTCTAACGTGTATAAATCAAGATATTTTTTTCTTGAAAAGGTTTGAATTTTACAGGTAAATAGAATTACAAGTGACTAGCAATATAGATTATCAGAACATTACCTATTATATGGCTAACAGGTGTCAAAAGTTTAATTACTATAACAACTGTCCCCTAATAAATGTTGACATAACAGGAAAAAAGTCATAAAAGTGATTTCTAAAGATTGTTTTAAACAATGAATTAATTCCTGACTATTCAACAGCATGATAAAAATGTTCTAAATGCAGGAAATTTTTTTTTTAAAAATATATAACATATATATATATAAAACAATTTTTAAAAATTTTTTAATTGCATCTTTCAAAATAACTGTTAAGAAAATCAGATGTTATATAGTCTCTCTTAAGTGACTTACTTCATGGTGTTAATGACTATATCTGTTGTATGATTAAATTAATATTTGATAAATCTTCATTAAACCATGTTCATGAACTAATTAATTGTGACTTTTTGTCTTATTACAATGTAGTAAATAAGTGACTTTCTGCCTTGTGACTATATCTATCCATTTACCAAGTAATTGACCTGAGGTAGGGACTAGTTTTATAGTAAAGTCCTATCAAAATTTCAATTGACCAGTATTTGCCAGTATTGACCAGTATTTGCCAGTATTTCCCGGTATTTACCGGTATTTACCGCCGGCATGGTCAATACTAGTATTGACCGCTTTTTTGCCAACCTTGACCCAACGACCTACTCAACCTATGGAGAAGTGTCGTATGTGAGCCCTACCAAACGACACTAAAAAACAAAAAGTTTATATTTGCAGGTATGTTCTTGACACCTCAAACCACCCAAATAATAAAAACAAAAAAACATAAAAGAAAAAGAAAACGCCAATTTGCGCCCCCAAAAAGTACCACAAAAAGAGTTTGTTTGTATAATCTCCTTTGAGTTCTTGTGTTCATTATTGGATATCACTTGTACACATCCATTAATTAGTCTATCTATATTCCCGCCCCTTGACATTATTTGATATCACTTTTACACATCCATTAATTAGTCTATCTATATTCCCACCCCTTGACATTATTTGATATCACTTTTACACATCCATTAATTAGTCTATCTATATTCCCGCCCCTTGACATTATTTGATATCACTTGTACACATCCATTAATTAGTCTATCTATTTTCCCGCCCCTTGACATTATTTGATATCACTTTTACACATCCATTAATTAGTCTATCTATACTCCCGCCCCTTGACATTATATGATATCACTTGTACACATCCATTAATTAGTCTATCTATATTCCCGCCCCTTGACATTATTTGATATCACTTGTACACATCCATTAATTAGTCTATCTATATTCCCGCCCCTTGACATTATTTGATATCACGTTTACACATCCATTAATTAGTCTGTCTATATTCCCGCCCCTTGACATTATTTGATATCACTTGTACACATCCATTAATTAGTCTATCTATATTCCCGCCCCTTGACATTATTTGATATCACTTGTACACATCCATTAATTAGTCTATCTATATTCCCGCCCCTTGACATTATTTGATATCACTTTTACACATCCATTAATTAGTCTATCTATATTCCCGCCCCTTGACATTATTTGATATCACTTTTACACATCCATTAATTAGTCTATCTATATTCCCGCCCCTTGACATTATTTGATATCACTTGTACACATCCATTAATTAGTCTATCTATATTCCCGCCCCTTGACATTATTTGATATCACTTTTACACTTCCATTAATTAGTCTATTTATATTCCCGCCCCTTGACATTATTTGATATCACTTGTACACATCCATTAATTAGTCTATCTATATTCCCGCCCCTTGACATTATTTGATATCACTTTTACACATCCATTAATTAGTCTATCTATATTCCCGCCCCTTGACATTATTTGATATCACTTGTACACATCCATTAATTAGTCTATCTATTTTCCCGCCCCTTGACATTATTTGATATCACTTTTACACATCCATTAATTAGTCTATCTATACTCCCGCCCCTTGACATTATATGATATCACTTGTACACATCCATTAATTAGTCTATCTATATTCCCGCCCCTTGACATTATTTGATATTACTTGTACACATCCATTAATTAGTCTATCTATATTCCCGCCCCTTGACATTATTTGATATCACGTTTACACATCCATTAATTAGTCTGTCTATATTCCCGCCCCTTGACATTATATGATATCACTTGTACACATCCATTACTTAGTCTATCTATATTCCCGCCCCTTGACATTATTTGATATCACTTGTACACATCCATTAATTAGTCTATCTATATTCCCGCCCCTTGACATTATTTGATATCACTTGTACACATCCATTAATTAGTCTATCTATATTCCCGCCCCTTGACATTATTTGATATCACTTGTACACATCCATTAATTAGTCTATCTATATTCCCGCCCCTTGACATTATTTGATATCACTTGTACACATCCATTAATTAGTCTATCTATATTCCCGCCCCTTGACATTATTTGATATCACTTTTACACATCCATAAATTAGTCTATTTATATTCCCGCCCCTTGACATTATTTGATATCACTTGTACACATCCATTAATTAGTCTATCTATATTCCCGCCCCTTGACATTATTTGATATCACTTGTACACATCCATTAATTAGTCTATCTATATTCCCGCCCCTTGACATTATTTGATATCACTTGTACACATCCATTAATTAGTCTATCTATATTCCCGCCCCTTGACATTATTTGATATCACTTTTACACATCCATTAATTAGTCTATTTATATTCCCGCCCCTTGACATTATTTGATATCACTTGTACACATCCATTAATTAGTCTATCTATATTCCCGCCCCTTGACATTATTTGATATCACTTTTACACATCCATTAATTAGTCTATCTATATTCCCGCCCCTTGACATTATTTGATATCACTTGTACACATCCATTAATTAGTCTATCTATATTCCCGCCCCTTGAAATTATTTCTAATGTGGTTACATATAAATTTGTCCGTTGACAGATTTTTTTGTAACTTTTTTCTTCTTTTTTTCAGAGAAATTAATTTTGAACAGTTATATAACGTATTGTATTTATGTAATATTTTTACAACAGTATCAATGTGAATCTAAGGCAAAGACAATATAATTCTGTAAAACGAGTCAATACATTATAAAGAGCAATGTTTGCCTCGCTGTAAAATAAAATTTGACTTTTTGCATTGAATTGATACAATTCATGTAGTCTTCAGTTTGCTAGACATCAATTTTTTTGTCGTACTGGGTGTTACAGGTATGCAGTGGGCACTCTTTCTGTCCATATTATAGTTCGACACAATTTCTCTTAACGGATTCCTATACGTTGTAACCGTATTCAGGTTAGGTCAGCAGACTTTACATTCGATTAAAGGAACGGGGACTATGGTTGATAGTCAAGCGGTTAAAAAAAGTCACATTATTTTGATAACTGTATACATATACTTCCAGTCGCAAATTTAAGCATGGAGTGGGAAACTGCTGAGCTGAAAAATGTGCCAACGAAATATAAAGCAGGAGAAAACCGAGATATTCACGCTGATATAAAAGTACATATTGGTTTCAGAGGAATTAACATAACTCTTAAAGGTCAGTATGACAAAACATTTCATTATCATCACATCATATAAGTGGTTACTAACGATTCAAAATGTTTGCAACATGCAATTAGGGATACTTAATTGCTTGAAAAAAAAATCGTTTAGAAGGGAAGTGACAAAAATAACTCGTTTCTAATTAAAATTAGGGAAAAAATGAATATGACTTTGAGTTTTAAAAAAAAAAATCTTTTTTTCTGTTTGTTTTTGAACCAGAATCAACCCTACGTTGAAATAATAAAAGAGGGACATCACACATAAAAAGTAAAATAACAGAAATACCGAACTCCAAGGGAAATTCAAAACGGACAGTCATTTATTAAATGGCAAATCAAAAGCTTAAACACATCAAACGAATGGAAAACAACTGCCATATTCCTGACTTGGTACAGGCATTTCCTTATGTAGAAAATGGTGGATTAAAATACTGTTGTAATACTAGTATCGTATATGTTGTAAAACATTTGGTTAATGAAGAATTGAACGTGTAGATAAAAGCAAGGACACACTAATTAAGTGTTTAATGAGTTGAAATATTTAAAAATATTTATCCAAATGATTAAACACTAAACAAAAAGAAAAAGAAAAAAGGGTGGTTCACGGCACTTCACATCCAAGCGCATGTTGACAACTACCCGTTAAGACATATAGTATGACCAGATGCTATTTTTAGCGTTTGAAAACCGGCGGAGGTCATTTAAGGGAGATCGGTTGTCTTCCGCCATCTTGGACTTTAAAATAGCAGATCACAATTGGTCTGATGTTCAATGAAATATGCATGTTTTGGGAGAAGAATGTAATTCATTTGTTAGTCTTTTTATTTATATGAAGAAAATTACATGTTTTATCTTATTATCAAGTCTGTTTTTAAAAGATGCAGATTGTTTTTTTTTTGTATGATTCAACTTTTTTTCAACTTTGTTATACACTGATAGGAGATAACTCTAAAAACCTTACTTTTATTAAGGAATGTGTAGGCAATTTACTATTTTGTTTGTAGCAAGAACATGAGTCTCGTGACCACAGTTGTCCTCTTTATTTTCTGAAGGCACACTTTATAAGAATTTTTTTCTCATATTTTATCTTTAAATTTTATTGTTTAGTTTCCTTTCTATCATACAAAATGGGGTTTTGCATATTTAATCTATACAAAATCTGACAATTTTGCACAACCTGTATCTTGAAAATAAGCACCGTGACCAATACTTTTTATTAAACTTATGAAAAAAGCATGATATAAAATGCATATTGACAAATTATCAAAAAAATCTATCATTTTTAATTTAGACCCCTGATCTACCTAAAAGCGAATAATTATTACATTTTTGCGAGAGAAAAAAAAAATAAGCGCCAATGTATAACCCATTTAGCGCCAGAATTTTTAATCTATTTTAGCGAAAAAGCTTACTTCAGCGAACTTATCCGTTTCTAATCTCAGTTATTACAAAAAAAAGTTAGCTTGGAATTTAGACTAGAAGACTCCTGATTGACAGCTGCTACCCCTTGATATCAATTAATAAGATTTAGGTTTAGAATGTCAAAACAGTTTTTTTTTTCTTTTTTTTTCAGGCGAACCAGAAATACAATTAAACGAGACAATAAACTATAACGAACATTTTGACTGGAGATGGGAACAAGGCAGATTTGGATTTGGAATTTTTGGTATTACAACATATTTTTTTATAGTAAAGAGATATGACCGTGTTAACAAACTGGCTTTTCTTATATTCTGAAATGAAGAAATAATTGCCTTACCCAAAATCTGATGAGTTTAATGTACTTACCACCAACGAACACAATGTCTTAAATATTAGGAAAACGGAATAGTATATGTATTTGAGGTATTTATGGAATCATTTTACAATTGAAAATGTAAAATTCCTGCAAATTTTTATGTAAACAAATTATGACCATGCAAGCTTCTATTCAGCATTATAGAAGTGAGCGTAAAAATCGAAAATTTGTATATTGTATTTAATAATAAACATCTTACTTTAAAACATTTGTATCAATAAAACACCTAAAAATATGTCATTTATACATATATCTCCAAACATGTCAATGATATAGACTTTGGGAAACAAAGCTCTTACTTAAAAATTATATGAAATTAAATTAAAAAAAAAATACCAAGGATGACGTAAAACATCCTCTTTTCATTATAATATACGAGACTAATCTTACAAAAGAGGGGCGAAAGATACCAAAGGGACATTCAAACTCATAAGTCGAAAATAAACTGACAACGCCATGGCTCAAAAAGAAAAAGACAAACAAACAATAGTACACAAAACACAACATAGAAAACTAAAGACTGAGCAACACGAACCCCACCAAAAACTGGGGGTGATCTCAGGTGCTCCGGACGGGTAAGCAGATCCTGATCCACATGTAGCACCCGTCGTGTTGCTCATGTTAGTACAAACCCGGTAATAAGTCTAATTCGGTAGGTCACATTCGGGAAAAGGGGACGGGATTGTAGTTACGACATTAGGAACATAACCGCTGTCACTATACACTGTTTAAAGAAATGTGTATGGTCAGTCTAAATCTTTATACGTGACGGATAAGTAGGAGCTTAATGTAGCTTGCTTCCGAATCATTGTCTATATCATAATATCTGTAATTTGCAATAAGTGTATTATTTGATAAAAAATAAGTTAAAACCAGTCCACATCTGAAATTTACGTTTTTAAATATGAAAAAAAGTCAGCTACAACAAACGATACTGTTGAAGCGAAGGTTTATAAAAAATTAATGTTTAAGACATAAACCAGATTGCTTTCGTTTCCACGCCGTGCTTCCAATGACTAAAGTTGTTCTTGGCTTCATTCAGAGGAATTAAAATTTAACATGGTATTTGGTGGCACGACGAATGAAAACTTGCAAGCTTGTTTGACACAAAAAAAATCCATTTACAAAATGCTTTATTATTTGTAGCCGGTCGTTTTAACCGTGAGTACAGAGAAGCACAGTTCCGTGGGTTGCCGCTGCCAATTCTGTGGATAGCCGAATATTTTACATTTGACGGTGAAGGTATACGATGGGGTCGTCATTACCGACAAGCAGGATGGTATTCTCATATCATGATGTGGTAAGAAACACTTAGTCTTATTAAGTAAAATGTGTAACGCACTCGGGGAAGCCCTCTCTCGTCGGTGGAACCCTCTATCATCACTTAAAATCTTGATCGAAAATATGAGAAAAGGTATTAACAAGATACCGTACTTCTAGGAAAATTCAAAAAGGGAGAAGTCCATAAAACCTGACAAAAATCAAACGTTCGACTATATCAACCAACGGAACGAATGTCAAACAACTGTCATATTTCTGACTTGGTACAGGCATCTTCTGAAGAAAATGGTGGGTTGAACTTGTTTAAAACTTGTTTAAAACTGATTTAATAGCCAGCTAAACCTCTCACTTGTATGACAGTTATATAGACATGTGGGACACATTTATGTGTCATCTGATATGAGAGTTAAAATGTTCGATGATATTTGACAGATTATTTTATTCACTGAATGTATACATGATTTACTCGTAACGCCACCCAGACATTATAAGTTGGTCTTGCATCTTGATTGCGTTCTGTTAGTAAAATAGTACATCATTAATGCAAACATTTTTTACTTTGCAATTTTGCAATTTTGCAATTTTGTGTATTAAGAACTGGTTTGTATTTCATTGTAGGTTGGCTCTTCCATTATGGTTTTTAACCATCATACTGTTCTTCGTCCTGTTAAAGTATGGAGCCTACTTCTTAATGTTGACTGGAGGAGTGATGGTCATAGCGAATATTTTATGGTCCACCATAAGGAATTTCAATGAACTAGAAATACCGTTGGCTGCTGATCATGTATTGAAATTTCAGTATGGTGGTGCCTACTATGTGAACCTCATAACAGGTTGGTGAATACACATATCATTTGTAGAATACGCTTAAAATTAAGTTTGATTACAGCATATGTGTAGATAAAAAGTAAACGAACATAGAACGAAAAAATACATGTAATAGTAACGCTTATAAATATGATATAAAAATACTTAGATTTTATTATTGGTACTTGCAGTTATTTTTGTGAATTTTTTCTCGGGAAAAGATATTTGTTTAAGTTCATTACTTTATTACAGGAGTTATATGTGTATTGCTTGGAGCTATTATTTGGTTAATGGACCTAAGATTTCCGTCAGTTATTGCATCTTTCTTTGGTGTTGATGTACTCCAGGATGAGTTTGATGATGCTACTGTTGAAGGTAATTATTTCCAGAACTGCAGCCGGCTAATCCAGAGCATAGAAACTTGATCAAGTCAGATATATATTGTACATTATCGTCTACGTGCATTTCTAAAAACTCATCAGAGGCGGATTTAGGGGCCTGGGGCGTTCCCCTTATGAAGCTACATATATGGTTAATGCATAAACTTTTTACAAGTTCCACTGCCTTGTTGGTGCCCCCTTACCCTTTTCAAAATCCTGGATCGGCATCTGCTCATGTTTCCTACTAGACAAGTCTCTAGGATAAGAGACTTCATTGAATAATTTCCTGAAACCCACCTCCTTCATCTGTAATAAAAATTCAGCGAGCTTTCGATTTATTTGAAAAATATCTCAGAGTAAACATGTGACAATTTTTGTCTTTAGGAAAAAAACTTCATAATCTGCATGTTTAGAAATAAGGGAAATTTGAACATGAAACATTTCATGAAGGACCTAAACGGACTAGTATAGACTTATCTTTGACCTATAATTGTTAACTTTTTATATATTGTGACTTAGATGGAGAGTTGTCTCATTGACACTCATGCCACATCTTCTTATTTATATTATCTAAATTTTCTTGGCTGATTTGTAGAAGATGCAAGCACACCAAAGAAAGATGAGCCAGATCAGAATGGAATGGAAATGAGAGGAATGTCTTCTAAAAGTAGGTCACAGGCAGCAACTGCCGATGATGAGGAAGAAGAGAGCGATGATGAAATTTATGAGGCTCCAGTAAGTGATTGTAATGACTAAAGACTGACTGAAATGGGGAATCATCTTAATAAGTAACTAATAGCTACAACCAAATGCTCTAAGCACTAGTTATTTTTAAGTCTTAAATCGCTTAGGCCATAGAACCAGAAAAGGTAACGGTCTGTACGGATAAATAAATTATTCTCCTTTAAATGTGGATAAAAGGAAAGGTTGTGTAAAGTAAATTTAACAGCAACCCAAGAACACGAAAAAGTCAAAACATTAAGAGGTCAATATACAGTCTTTAACACAAGAACATAATTCTCATCAATACGTTTATTGAGCAAAAATAAAGATAGAAAGACAATTATTGTTAACTTTAGAAATTGTACACCTGCAAATAGCTATGTGAAATACCATATTTTATCTAATTCCTGCAAATTTCTAAATGATATCTATATCTGTAATAGGATTTAGTGAAAAGTCTTGACTTAAGCCTATCCTCGATATGGGAAGGGAAGGTAAGGCTTATGCACAGACAAGAAGTTTCTCAACTGTTATGTTTTTGTATTGTCTGAACAAATGTCTCCGTTTATTTTTTGTTTTCAAGTTTATGTACTGAACTTACGCTTTCAGCTAATTAACTTTGGTAACCATCTTACTTTTAGGTTCCTTGCTCATTGCTGATTGTGTTCGCTGAAAACTGTGCGCTTCTGTTTATGTATATATGTGGGCTTTTTCCTATTGATAAAATTGTTCATTTTAACAGACGTTTGCTCAGCAACCAACTCAACAGACAACAATAAAGAAGCAGAGATTTACTAAACGTGTGGGACTACAGGCACCGCGGAGACGTCCTCCACCACCAATACCGGGTGAAGATCCAGATGAAGATTATGAAAATGTCAGGTAAATAACCAAAGAAAAATATCTACTTAAAATGAGCAAGACGTATTAGATTATATATACATGTTACAATAATAGTATATATTAAACTCTTTTATATGTTTTTTTTATTTGTCTGAATCAGACTGCACTTTCTTTTTACTTTTATCATACACGATGGTCTGGATGGGGGTTCCTTCATGTCTTCATTCTTTGATTTAATTGTTAGACTATTTTTCTCTTTCCTTTATATTAAAACACCCCATTATTCTCTATTTTTTATTTTTTTTACACTTTATTCTGCACTTTTTAGCCCATTATTCTCTATTCTGTAAACCCCATCCAGACCCTCACACATTAATGACAGAGATTTCTGACTCTTAATCCGGACCCCGTTTGTATGTGTTTAGAATTTGATATATAGATGCAACATCTGCCTTTAAAACTTTTAATGTTCTACCTTTTTGTAGCCGACCAGATCAAGTTCGACTCAATATGGGATATCACTAGAAGAAACAAAGAAAGTTGATATTATGAGTAAAGATGTTTGGAGATCACCATCGATAAACACTTACTAATATGTGATATTTTAAAAACAACGGATAGGAATATCTTGCTTTTGAATATATATATATATTTTGTACTTTCTGATTCCACAACAATATTAAGAATGATATCATTTTGGGTTATAGCTTTTGTGTTATAGCTTTATGCATAAAGCCAATGACTATATTTTGGAAATTGTTTGGGATGTTAACATTTAGGAGAAATTGCTTGAAATATTGTATACAAATAAACTTTTTATTAAACAACCAATTATATAGTTTCAAACTGGAAACCAGATATTTTTCTTTTCACTTTTTCTTTTTGGTTTTGTTTATATTAAGCCATAAAATGTTTACTGTCTGAAAAAAGTGCATACATTTTGTTATATAACTACCATATATGTCTGTAATATTTTTCATCTAGTTTAGTAACTCATGTTTATTTATATCCTACAATTTCATCAATAATAAAAAGCGATTTTACATATAATGTTTATTTTAATGTTTAATGAAGTTTACAAAACGCATGCAATTAGCAAGTCCTTCTATCGTGACCTTACCGTTTAACCAGCTGTATGTTTTGTACAAAGCGAAACTTTTTTTCTTTATCATTCCTACATACTAAACAGATCTTAACATAACCACGATAAATTGTCTTTAAAAATGATTTACCACGACAGATTGCGATGAGGAGAGGTCAACAATACATCACATTAAAATATCAATATTATCCAACCCAACTTTTAAATTCTAAGAACACCTAAAAATATCTTAAAAAAACTAACAAAATGGAAAAAGAAAGAAGAAACTGAATAACACACAAAAAGAAGAAAAAACCACAACACCTATAAACATGAGTTTAATTAATAAAAAAGATTGATTGACTGATTGCTGGTTGCTTAACATCCAGTGGCAAATATTACATGCATGTTTAGGATGAGAACAAATTGACAACAGATACGATAGGTTTAGGTCCTGTAAAAGGGGTCTATACCGGGATGATGGGCGGATCATTTGGATTGCCACTGCAAAATGAGATTATATTGGATAGGAACAGAATTTTAGCCTTGCAACAGGTCACCTACGGACCTCTCAATGAGTTGTTACAAGGGTCCTTAACGAGCCCATCACTCTCTCTACACGAGGCATGAGACGTGGCAGTGTACTCATACATCCCTAACAACCAAACGGACTCCCCACTTAAAGTCTATGGCAAAGGTTTTACTCCCGGTTGGGAGAAGACCAAAGTGACCATATGTCTATTGCTCAGTCACCCTTGAGGTAAATAAACTAGACGAAAGACCAACCCTTAAAATAAAAAAGAGAAAGTGTCAATCTGTAAAATAAAGATATGAATTAAAAAACAAATCAAGAAAAACACACACACGCGCATTTTTTTCTTTTAGATCAAACACAGTGAAGATATCTTCATGTTTTCATATATCAAATTCTCCATTAGACTCCCTCGATGTCTAACCATTTAGAGCTTGTCCTTACAAGAAGAGTGGTAATCATAATGCATTTGTGCAATTTGTGGAAGTAATGATTAAAGTACTCTTTACAACGTTTTTATTCACCTTTCTGAAAGCCTGAGGAAGTGGATCAACTTGAAATTATGCGAATACTTTTTCTACGGGTATTTACGATGGCATGGATAACCAGTATGTAAATACGGAGATGTACTATGACTGTCAATGAGCCAACTATCCACCTAACACAAAAAAAAAAATAATGATGTGAACAACTGTAAGAAAGTTAAATGATTGATTGATTGGGGTTTACGTCTAGTTGCAAATATTTCATGCATATTCAGGACAAGAAAAAAAAATAACATATAGATGTTGTATAGTAGGTCGACCGGAATGAAGAGTGGGGAATTTGGAATGCCACCAGAAAATGAAAGTATGATGGATAGGGACAGCCTTGCAACAGAACACTAACGGACCCCTCAGAGATATGAAACTTTGGCACCTTAATATCTTCAATTGAAGATGATACTTATAGTTACAGAAAATATTTTAGAAATTATTAAAAAGTTTAATAATACGCCAATTTCTAGGATAAGAAATATAATTACTGGACCTGTGATGAGATGATTAAAGCTGTAAATTTTCTTCTTCACAACATTTATGTACGTTTCTGCAATAGTTTATCCACAGGTTGTAGATATTCCTGTGGGCACCAGTTGCGCCCCTTTAATATCAAACTTGTTCCTATATGGTTAGGAACCACTGTTTATGGCAAAACCAAGTAATGGTCCGTCTTAATTCCATTTAATTGATAAACTTGAAACACTTATCGTTACCTTGATGATATGTGTGCTCTAAATAATCAAGAACTCACTATGTATACTGCAGAAATTTATCCAAAGGGAACTTACTTTAAATAAATTTGATATAATAGCAATACTTGTCCTTTCCTAGATTTGGATATTTCTGTTTTACACTGGAACTCTAAACAAAAATGCACGGTAAAAGAGACAATTTATCGTTGCCTATTGTCAATTTTACCTTTTTCGACGAAGATGTTCCTTTGGCCCTTCCTTCCTTTCTATCGTAGTGCCGTTACCTCACTGTCCAAAATCAGGGAGATGACTGAGTTTTCACAACCATGTTTATTGTAGTGCCGTTTCCTCACAGTCCAAAATTAGGGAGAGAACAGTGTTTTCACAAACATGTTTAACAGCGCCACTTTCTGTATTTGCTTGTTCTAAGTCAGGAGCCTATATTCTGGTCGTCTAGTGTCATTGGTTGCTGTCTTCTGTAAATGTTTTTCGTTAATTCTCGTTGTATAAACGAACCCGTTGAATTTCTATTTTGAATTGTTTTTCTCATTTTGTTATCGAGCTTACTATACGATATGAAATTTGCCCATTAGGGTCATATGGTGACTTGTTATAGATCACATCTTTGTCCCTTGGTCTTTATATATAAAGTTGTCTCATTGGCAATCATACAACATCTTCTTGTTTCATTAAACTTATTCGTTGGTACATTATGTCTGGATTCGTGTGTTTTCGTTTAAAAAGGCTGAATCTTCGTTATATTTTTTAAACCGTAACAAACAACACCAAATCTGAAATGAAATGCAAAGAGAAACTTTCAATTTCAACTTCTAGACACAATAGATACTTGATTATACTTATACTTATTTTTTTAAGTTTTTTACTTTTTACTTTTTTTTATCCGTTGCAGGTTTTTATGTATTTCTTCTATGGCTAATTGATTATTAGTGATAAAGCCACGATCGGGTCAAAGTTACTGAGACTGGTAAATCGATAGCAGTTTCTGCTTTAAATTCCCGCTTAGTGCGTTCCATTTATTACTAAGAGCAAAGACTGCATGGTCGACTAGGAGTTAGAATAAAGTGTCTGGCCCATGATGACATGGCTTCATGTTAACTATAACATTGAATATAGCACGTTATAAACTAGACTTCCGGCCGTCAGCGTGACGTTCCAGTTTAAAATAAGATTCGTGATTTCGTCCTGATATGCATGTTATTGTAAGTCATGAAGTCGGGTTTTCATAAATACATCGGATAACGTAGAAACCGATGAGGCCTTTAGTTGTCTTTAGCCGATTTATATGTTATAAAGTAACAATATCAATATCAATATCAATATCAATATCAATATCAATATCAATATCAATATCAATATCAATATCAATATCAATATCAATCAAGCAATACAACATATACAAGCAATTCAAATCATCACATATCAATACGTAAAATAAGTCAAAGCACATGCAATATAAAAAGCTAAGCAACATAATATAAATAAGAAGATGTGGTATGAGTGCCAATGAGACAACTCTCCATTCAAGTCAAAATGTATAAAAAGTTAACAATTATAGGTCAAAGTACGGCCTTCAACACGGAGCCTTGGCTCACACCGAACAGCAAGATATAAAGGGCCCCAAAATGACTAGTGCAAAACAATTCACACAGGAAAACCAACGGTCTAATCTATATAAGAAACGAGAAACACTTATGAACCACACCAACAAACGACAGTCACTGAACAACAGGCTCCAGACTTAGGACAGGTGCATAAAAATGCAGCGGCTTTAAACGTTTTAACAGACGCCAACCTTCACCCTAACCTGAGACAGTAGTATAAAATTACAACATAAAAAGACACACTATAAAATATCAATTAAAATGCCTTAACTCGATCAAAAAGACATTTAAACAAAAACAAGTAAACATACACTGAACGAATAAGTTTGATCTATGACACAATATAAATACAATATTAAAACGTAGGTGCCTATATAGCATAGACGTTACAGGTAGTAATAAAAAAAATGTAGGAACAGTGTCAAAAGACAACTCTAACCTGGGACAAAATGGCGTGAAATAAAACAACGTACACAGGTAAATTTAAATATAATAATTATGTTGTTAGGAGTACGGAAGTAAACATTTTTTACAAAATTAATAAATTTGTTGTTCACAGTACGAGTACAGAAGTGAAAATTTATCGTCATACTAAATAAGAACATAAAGCAAATACCGGTACAACTCAAGGCATAAACAGTATAAGTTATCAGTACGGACAAAGCAAGCTAACAATATATACAAATTATATACATATAAAAGCAGAAGATATCAATACATTCAGCAGATTGAAATTAAAGAACTTCTGGATGCACAATTGCATGTGAATGAAAGCAGTTGCAGCAGAAATAAGGGAATGTCATTATTTGCATGATTGCATGATTGATTGATTGATGTTTAACGCCACTTTCAGTACTATTGGCTATTTCGTGGCTGTCAGTTTTTATTGGTGGAGGAAGCCGGAGTGCCTGGGGAGAACAATCGACCTTCGGTAGGAATCGAACACATCTGTCACATGCGGGATTCGAACTCACAACCGCGATCAGTGTTGATATTCTAGTGTTACAGAAGTTGAACTACTTAGACTACTCGGCCCCCTTATTTGCATGAACTGCAGGTACTGTTTTCAGAAAAAACACCAAGAAGAGATAAAAAAAAATTGTGAACTGGCCAAAGCTCATTAGACTCCTTATTTCATTTGGTAAGGAGTTCACATTTTTGCTGCATCATTACTTAAAGCTGAGACTATTATAACACACAGTAATCTTAGATTAAAACTTTCCATGGCATACCTTGTTGTTTTCGGTCGTGGTATACAAGCTATGCCTTTGTTTCTTAAATGCGTTTTCGTTAATGGTAATTACATTTGTAAAAATATTCAAACTGGACTTATTTCTTATTTTGAAGCTACCTAATATTTTTCAATAAGAAACCCGAACTTCTTCTTCTTCTGTTCTTCTTCCGGTAAGGAGTTGACCTCATACTTGAGTGATTTGATAACTCCGCTCGTTAAAACAGGAGGCTTCTCCATTGAATAAAAGTAAATATTAACCAAATAAATAAATCTGGAAATTGGTGTCTAGTGAGGCTGCATCTGGGTCCAGGGCACACTGGCTAATCTGGCCCTGAACTCTTGAAGTGTCG